CCTAAGGCCTCACTTGTGGCTCGGAAAACATTCTCACCTTCTAGGACAGTGATGGCGAACCTATGACACTATCTTCAGCAAATATCAAAAAATTTCTATATGTGACACAGCACCAGTTAAGTTAGGATTTTTCAAAATGCTGACATGTGGAGCTCAAAAGGTTCGCCATCACTGTTCTAGGACTTGGACTTTTAAGACAGTTTGCTGTTCGTAGTCTAAAGTGCCATGAATTGGCTACCAGATGCCTTCATAATTCTCTTGCAAGCTGCATCAAAATTTGTCAGGTATGTTTTATAATCTGTGGTTTTACCTTATAGGCATTTTCATGTTTAATGTGATTTATGTGATTTCAATGTGCCATTGTATTATGCAACAAATAATTGAAATTATAATAAAACTGATTTGTTCACGGATGATGGGAATGCAGATTGGTGTAGCCACTATGGAAAACAGTATGGAGTTTCCTAAAAAAATTAAATATGGAATTGCCACTTGACCTAGTGATACCACTCCTAGAAATATTTCCAAAGTAACCCAAAACACCAATCAGAAAGAATATATACACACCTATGTTCATAGTAGCATAATTTACAATAGCTAAGATCTGGAAATAGCCCAAGTGGTCATCAATAGATAAATGGATAAAAAGTATGTGGTACATTTACAGTTGGAATACCATGTAGCTGTAAAAAGGAAGAAACTCTTACCCTTTGAGACAGCATGAGGGATCTGGAGAGTATTATGCTAAGTGAAATAAGCCAGTCAGAGAAAGACAAGTATTACATGATCTCACTCATAAAGAACAAAATAAACTGATGAGCAAAATAGACCCAGAGACATAGAAACATGAAACAAAAGGAAGGCAGGGGTAGGTGATGGATGGGAAGAGATTAACCAAAGAATTTATATGCATACTAGAGGCCTGGTGCACAAAATTAGTACACAAGGGGGGCCCCTCAGCCCAGCCTGCACCCTCTCGCAATCTGGAACCCCTCAGCAGATGTCCAACTGCCGGTTTAGGCCCGATCCCTGCAGACATCCCCCTAGCAATCTGGGACCACTGGCTCCTAACTGCTCACCTGCCTGCCTCTCTAATTGTCCCTAACCACTCTGCCTGCCTGCCTGATCGCCCCTAAGCCCTCTGCCTGCCTGATCACCCCTAACCACTTGCCTCCCTGCCTCATCGCCCCTAACCACTCTGCATACCTGCCTGATTGCCCTTAACTGCTCACCTGCCTGATCTCCCCTAATTACCTCTGCCTTGGCCCCTGCTGCTGCAGCTTCATCTGAAAGGATGTCCGGAATGATGTACTGAAGGTTATTTGGCTATCCGGTCTAAGTAGCATATTAACCATCTATACTAATAAAAGGGTAATATGCTAATTAGACCAGGAGATCAGACATCTTCAACTGCCTGACTTCCTTCCAGACAAAGCCACGGTGGTGGGGGCCAAGGCAGAGGCAGTTAGGGGCCATAAGTCTGGCAGGAAAAGGCAGTTAGGGGCCATGAGGCTGGCAGGGGAGGGCAGTTGGGGGCCATGAGGCTGGCGGGGGAGGGCAGTTGGGGGCCATGAGGTCAGCAGGGGAGTGGTTAGGTGGTGATCAAGCCGGTAGGCAGGCAAGCGGTTAGGAGTCAGCGGTCCCATATCGCAAGAGGGATATCCAAGGGGTTCTGGATTGGAGAGGGTGCATGCCAAGCTGAGGGACCCTCCCCCCCCCATGCATGAATTTTGTGCACTGGGCCTCTAGTTATAGATAATTCATAACCCATGGACACAGACAATAGTGTGGTGAAGACCTGGGGCAGGAGGCCAGAGCTGGCTACAAGAAATCAATGGTGAAAAAAAGGAGACATCTGTAATACTTTCAACAATAAAAATAAATTTTTAAAAATTTGTGGGCTTTTGCATTTTGGATTGTGAAGCCAATATAATTACTTTATATTTACACTTGAAAGTTAAACTGTTCATATTTGGAACTCATATAGCAATAATTTTGAACTCGGCAGTACTGATATATAAATATATCACAAATCATAAAAAAATAAGTAATGTAAAATGTTACATGAATATTTTTGTTGTTTTACCATATGTGTCCTTGATAAAAATATAATTGGTTGCTTAGACAAGTACTGATCATATGCCATAAACTGACACTACAAAAACTATTTTCACTCAGTTAAAAGCTTGCTGTGTGTTGCATTGTAATTTTTACTGACAATGAAAAATCAACATATTTTATAATAATTACTTATCCCATTAAAATTTCAAATAGAAACGTTTAGTATAATTAAATTTGATTGTTACAGCTACCATCCACAAAGAGCTGACATCAGGGTTAACATATTAAAAACAAAATCCCTCAAAATACCTAACATCTTTTAATATTCAGTATGTGTTGCAAACTCTCAGAATGATAATAATGCTACTTTACAATTCACATCCTATATTATAATATTTAGCTGTTAAAGTTTTTATTTGGACCAAGTTACAGAAGCAAGCACTTTTTTCTTTTCTTTTCTTTTCTTTTTGTTTTTTTTTTTGTTTTGTTTGTTTGTTTGTTTTTTGTTTTAGCAAGCATAATTTTAAAAAAATCTGTTACTCAAATATCACCTTCACCTCACTAGCAGGTGGTCAACTCTCCCTTAGGTAGTGTTAAATTTTGCAGCCTCATTTACTAATCTGGTTAGTTGCCAATTTAAAGCTCTCAATTGCTACTCAGTTGATTGAAGGTGACAGCACAGATTTTTTAGAAGTTCTGTTTTGTAATTATTTGTTTATCTTTGAACATTTGGCTCACTAATTTCTTCAAAGTATACTTTTCCCCAGAATAGTCTAGGAGGGGTATATTCAAGTTACTGCAAACTGTAATCAGTGGTTCCATTAGAAGCCACACTCACTCTCCTCTGCCCTCAGACTATGTGAGTATATCTTTATAGTTAAATAGTTTAACTTTCTGGCTTCAAATGAATTGTTTCCCAGAGTCCAGAATCTAGCTTTGATTTTGACTTTAAATGAGTGCCTTCTTCATGGGATTGCCCGAAATCCCTTTTTATGTCTTGACACTGTGGTCATCCAGTTAATTTCTAAGAGTCTCCTTAGCCCTCATTAAGTGACTTGACCTTTAATTTTTTGAGTATCATTTGACCCAGTGATCCCACTTCTAGGATTATATCCTAAGAAACCTGAAACACCAATCAGAAAGAGTATACTAGTATGCACCTCTACCTGGTATGTTCATAGCAGCACAATGTACAATAGCTAAGATTTGGAACCAGCCCAAGTGCCCGTCAGCAGATGAGTGGATTAAAAAACGGTGGTACATCTACACAATGGAATACTGTGCTGCTGTAGAAAAGAAGGAACACTTACCATTCACAACAGCATGGATGGACCTGGAGAATATTATGCTAAGCCAGTCAGAGAAAGATAAGTATGCCATGATTTCACTCATGTGTTGAATCTAATGAACAAAATAAACTGATGAACAACAACAAAAAAGACATAGAATCATGAAAGACTGATGAATTTCAGAGGAAAGATGGGGGTGGAGGTGGGGTGGAGGGGTAGAAATTAACTGGGGAATTTATATTCATATATGCATAGCCCATGGACACAGACAATAGTGTGGCAAAGGCTTGGGAGGGGCCGGTGCTGGGAGGAGGAAGTGAATGGGGAAAAAAAACAAAAAATCAAAGGGGGCATCTGTATTACTTTCAACAATAAAGATAAGTTTTAAAAAATAAGTGTCTTGATCAAAATAGGCACTGAGGTAAGTAAGAAAGATTAATTCTATTCAACATTTGTTTTATTTTTTTTTCTTAAATTTCCAGAGACAAATGCAAATATCCATTCAATTTGTGTCTCAACCTCTATATGTATTTGAAGAACCCAGGGAGCTTGTGAGAAAGACATATGCTCAGGTCCCAACCCAGGTTTACTGAATCCAAATCTGCATGTTAAGATGATTCCCAGGTCATTCATATGCACATTAGAGTTTGAAAATCAATGGCTTAGAGGTAATTTTTATTTTTCTACAGAACCAAATAAAGAATACTTGATCATGCACTACGGTTTTTCAGACATCTAATATTACATGTGTATTCATTTTCCAGATGACCTTTTCTTATTGAATATTGGAAATCCACTAATATTTTTAAGGCCCAAGACAATGATTATGCTATTAAAAATCTAAGGAAGAGATTTTACTGTTATAAT